GTTACAACACAAAACACAACGCGACGCCCAGTTCGAGTTCTTTCTTAATTTTTACTACTCGAAACAGCGGTACATCACAGAAACTTCATACCTCAGAAGTTTATAATTTCAATAACTGCACTAGTGAAAACTAAAGTACTTAAATATTTTGACATAGTCATGATAGCCGATTAAAATGAACGGTCACCGAAATAGCGTGAAATAGTGGCCGGGCAGTTCTGATTGCCGTCGTACCGAGCGCTGCTGTCAGAACTTTAAAACATTCCGTTGAAATGTCTATAAAAAAAAATCTTTTTCGGAATCATTAAACACGCTCTATAAAAATATATGCATTTTCTGAGCGACGGTCGCCATTTTAAAAATGCGCACTTCGGCGGCCATATTCCAACGCCACAATTGCATGTGTGCGTATATACGAAATTATTTATGAGCGCCTTGTAATTTGAATAAATTTGCGAATGGAATTCGTTCCACACAGGCATACTGTACGCAGGCCCTAAGTGAATACTCGCAACACGCAAGCTGACAGCTGGAAAGCGAAATGGGATACATGTTAATTTGCTTACCTACGTGAATTACCGATTCGACCTAAAAAATAATGTCCGTAATTTGGAGAATATTGGACCAGAATGAAGTGAAGGAAAAAATGTTCTATGCTATTTAGTTTTAGCAATTTTCATATCTAATCATATATCAGAGGAAGAATCTAAAAGAAAAATAGTTTGTTGAAGCTTTTTTAATTCGTAAACCGGAAATTTATAAGGATTACTGTATTTTAAAAGTCGGATGATCGTAATGAATTTGTAACCCGATCTACACTCACCGGCAAAAAAAACCGGCCACTACAAACTAGTCCCAATTTCAGAGTTGGATTTCTCGCGAACCACTCATTAGATTTAAATGATTTTTTTTTTAAATTGCAAATTAATTCCTTCTTAACGGATGCTACGTCAGAAATTTTTACTCCGAATTTATTTTGAGCATATACAGGGCACAACAATAAAACGACATTTTTGCTCGAACTTTGTGACACCCTGTAGGGTGCAGCTTTAGTAGTTATTGCCAAATCAAATCGCCGCATTGTAGCCTCATCTTTTGTGAGTATTTTGTTTTTTTAATCACGACATTATCTCTGTTTGTATTGGAGATACGCTGCTTTAAAACGAACGTCTCGGAAAATTGCTTTGCAGGAAAAATCGCGACCAAACCAATTCACATGTAAACGCGCAAACTGAAGACGTACTCGACGATGTCTTGGAAGTAGTTGGATCCTATGGTAGGCCTCCTTGCAGATAAGCTGTTTTCTTTTAGTCTTCGTTCGATTGTTCTCTCATTGACTTGAGTTCCACGCACGGCTTGTAGCAAATGTAGATTCTGAAACGTCATTCTACGATTTCGTAAAATATTCAGAACAATAAAGCAGTCGTCAATTGCATTTGTTTTCTTCCGGAATCCACTCGCCTGGTGAAATTTCCTGTTTCCATATACCGATTCCAGGCATCCTGGACTGTTGTTCGAGGTATACCCAGGGTATCGCACACACAACGTTGACTTCTTCCATCTTCAATTAAAGCCACAATACGAACAACATCCGTCACAGATAATGGCATTTTTTAATTTGACAACCGTTGTTGTCATATTGCAAATACTCATAAATCCGTTTTCGCGTATGTCGCTTTTACATAAAACTTTCTGCCTGCAAAGCATTTTTCCGAGACGTTTGTTTTAAAACAGCGTATCTCCAATACAAACAGAGATAATGTCGTGATTGACAAAACATAATGCTCACAAAATATGAGGCTACAATGTGATTTGATTTAGCAATAACTACTACAGCTGCTGCACCCTACAGTGCCAAAAAGCTTCGTCTTATTATTGTGTCCTGTATATGCTCAAAATAAATTCGTAATACAATTTTTTGACGTAGCATCCGTTAAGAAGGAATTAATTTACAATTTAAAAAAATCATCACAGTCTAATGAGTGGTTCGCGAGAAATCCAACTTTGAAATTGGGACTAGTTTTTATTGGACGGTTTTTTTTGCCGGTGAGTTTATAATCAAATAATTTTATTTATTTTACTTGGTGCATTGGAAATAAAAATATTAAGTATGTTAATTGTCATTATTATCTGAATAGAGACTATACAGGGTGAGTCTTAAATAAGTGCAAAATAATTTTAGTGGTAGTATATTTCGACCACAGAATCACAATTATGAAGATATTTTCGCAATTTTTTAAACATTTTTTTTTAAATTTTTTTAGTTTTTAGTTAAAAACCAAAATTTCTTGATAATTTCTCAAAATTTAAGCAAAAATTCATTTTTTTTTGGAAATTTTGAAAATAAAATAACGGTACAGAGAAAATATGTTTCTTTTTTCGAGATCTACCAGCCCTGAAAAAATTTGCACTTATTTAAGACTCACCCTGTATAACGAGTCAAGGAATATTTCGACTGGCGACTTCCAAAAATTGACAAAAAAAAACAATTTGATTGTGAATCAAAAAATGGCACCACAACTGTCACTGTAAATGTTCCTCTCGTTGAATAATCTATGCAGAATCACATTTCAGATACCTAAGGTACTCATTCACTTATGAATAAGCACCTTAAGTATCATTAGGGGAGGCTACACCATAATTCGAAATGGTTGAATAAGCTGAACATGATGATATACCCAAATTTAGGATCTAAAATTTCTTAGATATGTGTTACATGAAATTCGCCATACCAACTTAAATCTCAAAAATTTGTCTTTTTTGGAAGTATAAGAAGAAAATATCTTGAAAGAGCTAATAAAATTGAACGAATGTACCCTTTCAAACATGTAGGTAACCCTTTCAAACATGTAGAGCATTAGAAACTAGTTTGTAGAAGTTGATTTATTTATAATAACTACGATTAATATTATGCATATTATTAGATCGTGCACTGAAATTTCCAATTCACAATAAACAAAGTTAAATATAATATCTTTAAATTGCTGACCTGAATATTATTTATTTGAATCTTTCAATTGACTAGACTTTCCTTATTCAATGTTACTTAGCGCTGATCAATATTGTTGCGATGAATATAATCATTGTACTTAGGAGACCGAGTTCTTTCAAAAACTGAAATAAAAAATGCAGGTCCGTATTTAAAAAAATTAAGTTGGCCTCTGTATCTCACAAATTATCAGCCAATTTGAAAATCTAAAAATACTATCAGATAGCCCTAATAAAGTGGCTATGAGAATGTGCAATTAGTTTTTTGATTTTCTAAAAAGTAACGACAGGAAAAAATAATATTTATTTTCAAAAAAATCCGTTTTCTCCAAAAAACTCAGCAATCCTTGAAATTTTTAAAAGTTTTTGGATGGCATCTTGGTGAAGATCCCAAAGCGCAACTGCGTGTCCCAATTTAACCATCGTTCGTATCTATTACGGTTTCCGAGATATCAAAGCTCGTACCTCGAATTTGTAGCACCCTGTATAGTGTTTTTTAACCTATACCAAAGTATAAAGTAACTCTATACAGATATAACTCTCCTTTTTTTGTCATAACATGTAAAGATTATGATCAAAAATACATTAAGGCGACATAAAATTAATTAGAAATAAGTTTAAAAAAAATTGATGGATAAAGATATGGCAGAACTGACAAATATTGTGTTGCTCAATACATCATTGATGAAGATTATTGTACAGATTAAAACCATGTAAGATTTAGAAGCCTGTATAACAACCGAATGCAGAAGAAGGCACTTTTTTAAATCACTTTATCTGCTCTAAAAAGATAGCCAACCAAACATTTTTTAATACGAACTTTTTTTACTACCTTGTATGGTACATCATACAAAACCTCATTGCTATTTCTTTACCGTTTTATGAGAAAATCTTAAATCGTAAATTTTGAAATATCGTTTTTTAAAAGTAAGTAATATTTTTGAAAACTACCTATAGCTCATTGCCTGGAAACTTATATGGTGAAATTTTGATAAAATAATTTAGTACTCACTAAAAACACGGTATGTCGCTAGTGGTAGGAAAAATAATTTTTAGAGGTTACTAGTTTATTTGGTTGCCTGTGATATGCATATACAGGGTGTTTCCTAATTAATCTGAAAAATAAAAAATCGTTAGAAAACGGCTTAAAGCGGGCTCTTAATAAGTATATTTATTTTTTTCTCGGCAACCGTTTGATGAACAAGAAAAACTCAAAAGATCAATTTTGTTGAAAAAGGATGGCCAGCCAAGAAAAAAATATATTTTCTTTAAAAAAGCAGTGGTGTACCATTTATGTTAAGCAAAATTTCGTTTTTTTTTAATTTTTAACACCCTGTAGATCAGAAGGGAAGTACTTTAGACCCAATGGTTATATAAAAATTGTTTTAAGAACACATGAGGAATCACACCACAATTTTTTAGACTAATTAGAAAACACCCTGTATATTGTCAACTTGACAATGATTGTTGATAAATCAAAAAATACCTTTTCTGTGAAAAAAGCCCGATTTTCGCAGGAAAAATTTTGGTTTTTATTGAATTTGGGCCTGCGTCTGCAAATACCCGGTATGTTTTTTAATATTCTATCTATCTAAATTTTAAATATTATAGTCAGAAATAGTTTTATTATTTATTAACTATAAAAATGGTATACTTATAAGTTTTATCAAATATTGTGATTTACTTTCTACCTTGTAGTCAAAATTTATATTTAATAAACTGTAAAATATATATATTCTTATGTTTTATTAAAGTTACTCTGATATACTAATATATCAGTGTAACTTTAAAACTAAATCCTTTGAAATCAAATATAAACATCAAAAATATTTACAGCAGAAAAGGCGAAGGCGCTGGGTTAAACGTAGTCTCTACTAAGAACACGGATGGGCGCTTTGACCCAAAATTTTACTATTAAGTTTCATATCTATCTTAATAGAAGATTACTTTCTTTTATCTATGCTATAGCTTTCAAAAAATTCAAGTTCACATTTCATTCACTATTTACTTACCGGAGTAATTCTGCCAGAACGCCGCTCCACTGTTCATCAGGTCCAGTCCGGAATACCCCCACCCTTTATTCTCCATAGGCGGAGGAGGAGGTGGGGGCTGCTCCCTAGGCATATCCCTTGGTGTGACGTACTGCTGAGGCATCTCCTCGATCTCCTGTTTGATCCTATCGGGCCTCTCCATGATCCTCTCCGGTGTAGGCGGAGGTATCATTGTGGGAGTGTGAGGTGTGTGAGGAGTATGAGGAGTAGGTGGTTGTGGAGGTGGAGCTACTTGGTGCTGCTGTTGCTGAGTCGGTTGCTGGAGCTGAGCAATCTTATCTGTAACAGTATGAAGCAAATATTTGTTGTTATTTCAAAGATATATTTGAAATAGGGAGAAAAATGGAGAATTCTGTGAGGGTGAGGATTATAAATTTTTAATTAAATATTTTTTTTATTTATTTTTATTTCACTTTCTCACTCTTCCGGTAAAACTTTACTATTCTTACATTTAAAACTTTTTGCGACCTCCAATAGAAAAAATCTGCAGGTTATAAAAATTATCTAACTAAATATACACTCATATGGGGGAAATAAAAAATGCACCGGAGAAATTTTTGGTCAAATTTAAAGTGTTATATTATTGATATTTTTAACCCTATTTTTATGATTTTTTTAGCAAGCTGTATATAATTATATCACCTTTTGTTCGTAAACTCAGTTTTTTATAAACTTTAGTATTTGGCGTATTATATAAGGTTAACCGAGAGGTTGTTTTTTACCTTAACTTTAAAACACCCTGCGCAATCATTTCTTGTGTCAATTTTCCTAAATTATAATTTTTCAGTCAGAAACATATCTCCTGAGCATTTTGGTTTTTGAATCATGTCAATACAAGCCTTGGTTAATTTTTAAGAACGAAATGAGCTTGCCACCAACAATTTGCAACTTTTTAAGTATCATTTCTTTTCTGAAGTTATTTTTCAATGTGATAAGGCGGCTTTGATGATTAGTGTGAACTATATATTATTATGAACTGCCCATCACGTTTAGCAAATGCTTGACAGAAAGATAAGAGGTCGCGAAGCAGTACAATTAAATAAAGTTCGCTTGGTCCTTAACGAAGAATAGGAAAGCATAACACAATATTACAGTTGAGGGTTGGAACCTTTGGTGTTACACAGCAAAATAAAACACTAAATCACCACAATACACCAAAAACACTTTTACTTTTACACTGGACGCGCGTTTCGCTAACCATGTTAGCATCATCAGCAGATGATTAGAAACTAAGCTACAAGCAGTGTAAAAGTAAAAGTGTTTTTGGTGTATTGTGGTGATTTAGTGTTTTATTTTGCTATAACACAATATGATATATGCAGCCTCAATGACAGTATGAACGGACGTATACAGGCAGTTATAGCAGCCAAGGGCGGCAATACAAAGTGTTAGGGTATTTAAAAAAAATTCTGTTAGAATGCTTTAGTATTACAGATGGTTTCTTTAATATCGTTAGTTCTATTATCGTTATTAATGTTTATTAAAACCCGGACTGTGTCGTTAGTTTTTAATGTTCTTTTTTTAATTTAGTATAGAGTATCCAATGCAGTGTAATATGAAGTTACGACAATAGTCACCAAAACCATCTCGTCAAAAATTACATCAAAAAGTAATGATAATTAAAAAAATGCAAATTGATCGTTATCAGTTCATTTCGCTCTTAAAAATTAACTAAAGCATGTATTGACATGAATCAAAAACCAAAATGCTCAGGAGTCACGGTTCTGGCCATAAAATTGTATTTTAGGAAAATTTACAGACGAAATTATTGCACAGGGTGTTTTAAAGTTAGGGTAAAAAATCAACCTCTGTATAATATGCCAATTACTAAAGTTTATAAAAAACTGAGTTTACGAATTAAAGTTGATAGAATTATATACAGTTTGAGGAAAAAATCATGAAAATAGGGGTAAAAATAACAAAAATATAACACTTTAAAAATTTTACCAAAAATTTCTCCGTTGCGTTTTTTTGCATCTGAGTGTATACAGTATGTACCCGGATTGTCTTTACAAGAGGAAAAACTTTTTTATTATGGACATTTTGAGAAAAATGCATTCTTCGTAAAAAAATTCCTTGTTCTAAAATGGTTAATCCCGTTTTTTCCAAGAAATACAAACAATATAGAAATGAAAGATACAAACAAAAAATATAAAAAAACATAATAAAGTAAAGTAGAAAATAAGTAATAGTGAATAAGGTAAAGTAAAAAAACTATATATCAAGTAATAATAAAATTAATCGTTTATAAAGTTTATACAAATATTCCTATATAGCAATAATTTCATATAAAATAAATTATATTTTTATGTTTTTTTAGTGTGAATTTTTATGTTCGTGGGACCCAATTCAACCCATCTCATCCGCTTATCAAGACAAGATATTACCTAGTGCCCTAATAATTTTCAAGATTGAAGATTGAGCTTGGGGGCTTTGACGTCTTAAATTCGTCCGGAGGGCGGGAGACAGTGAAATTGGTACATTTAAGTTTAGTGACGAGTCTGCGTTTGACACAAACTTTAGGGCAGACACTGATTATATCTGTGTTCGTGTCATTTCGTTATTAATCGACTGAGATCGATTGTTAGAGATTGTCATGGAATGAAATTATATTGATACAAATATATTAACGATATATAAATAAATGTAAATATCTAATATAATACGAAAATATTAATTTTGGGAATGAAAAGATCAAAAATATTAAGCATTGTTGCCAAATGACTAGATTTTTAGAAATTGTGCAAGATGGGTTCGTTGGAGGACTACTACAGCTACAATTTAAAATAAATTTCTAAAGGTACAAAGTGTCCCAAACAAATAAAAAATATCAAAGTTTAATTTTTTAAATGATATACCTACCGTGTATTTTATTACATTTTTAGTTTCTACGATTAATTATAAAAAAATAAATTAGATTAGGGTATAGCGTACAATCTTACCGTTTTTGAAATATTTACAACTTTGTGAAAATGCAGTAACCAGTAACACTTTTAATGTTTTCTTTCTCTAGGCGTATTTAAATTTTTAAAACCAAATATTGTACCTAAATTTTTCTATTTACTAAATTTTGTGTTGCAATAATAAAAGTTATACTACTTTATACAATGCCTAAACATTTATTTTAAATAATTACTATCTTTAACTACCGGCAATAACTTGTTTACTTAAATGGAATACCCTGTATATTTTATGAGAAACAGATGCACAATTTAATTGTCTATCAAATTTTATGTACCTGACTCTTCAAGTTTTCATATAATTTAGACCTCATTTATCAATATACCCATGTAATATTGACATTTTAGATTATTTTTAAAGATGGAACAAATTTTTAAAAAGTAGAGATACTAATATTGTCGATATAATATGTAGTTCGTTAATTTCATTAAAAAATTAAAAAAAAACTGTTTAAATATTTGTTAGAGGACCAATTAATATGATTTCAGTATTCAAACTACATTAATTGACTGTGTGCGATGATTAATAAATAACTTCTCCAAATACTAAAAAGCTGATTTTGTATGTGTATTAGACAGTGTGGTAAAAAGTATTTTATTTCATTTTTTGACGAATGCTTATTTATAACAACAGAGATGTTCATTTTCATAACTTATTATTATATTGATTTCTGATTCAAATCCACATTTATTTACAATAATTTATTAACTAACACAATAATTAAGTATGTAATTAATATTTGGGCGGAAATAATGGTGGTATATTTAAATAATGGTAAACTCTTTTATAAAGATTTAATTAGTTTTATTTTTGTATACAAAAGGGCTAGTAATATTATCGTTTTTAGCACCTGTACATTTTGTACTTTTATTGCTTTAAAAATAATCTGAAATGTCAATATTCCATGGTTATATTGATAAATAAGGTATAAATTATAAGAAAATAATTTTCTACGAAAACTTGAAGGAATAGGTAAAAAAAATGGTGCATCTGATTCTCCTAAAATATACAGAATGTTCCATTTAAATTAAACAAGTTATTACCGTTTAAAGCTAGAAAGTAGCTTTAGTAGTCCTCCATTCGATCCCATCACTCACAATAACTAATATAACTCAAACCTGTATTATATTATAGTACAGGGTGTTTCCAAAAACATGTGCGATCTCTCGTAGGGAGATTTCTCACATAAAAATAAGATTTAATTTTCATATCAACATAGGTCCGATTCTGCTTTGTTTCGTAGCTACAGGGTGCTAAAGTCTTAATATTTTTTAAGTACTTCTAGTGATTCGAATCAAATTTTAAGGGTAAAAGTTACTATAAGTGCTACATATTTTAATGCTAAACAGGGACGTGCATATGGGCTATCACTGGAATATTTTTCAAAAAAAAAACATGTGCGCCACTGACTTCTTTTCTTTTGATATGCAAATTTTGTAGGCCGTTTAATGCCAATTAAAAGTTATCTCTTGATATTTTGTCGAATTCGGCCTCCTGAGATAACCGCAAATTTATTAATCACAATTAATAAAATTAAAATAAAAATAAAATTAATAAGTTATATATTTCACCTAATTTATTATTAAATATTATTACTATTAGTTATTATTACTATTAGTCCAACATACAGCAATTTCAAAGAAAAAGATAATGGTATTTAAGATAATTACAAAAAACCTTATTTTAAAAAGTTTTAACATCCTCTAACTTTAAAACAATGCATTTCGATACACATATGTTTACAGGAACAGCTTTCTTTTCATAGTTTTTGATGAGGAATCAATGAGTACTTATTTAAAACTTTCACAAGTTAACGATATTAAAATTTTTTAAAGACTGGTTTTTATTAAACCTGGATAAATCAAAAATATGTAAATATTTCTCATCAAGGAGGCCGAAGTCAGGAAAATATCAAGGCAATCGGCATTAAATTACACTATTTCGCAAACAAGAGAAAAAAAAATCAGTGGCGTACATGCTTTCTTTAGAAAAACATTCCAGTCGCATTTATAGTAAGTTTTACCCTCAAAATTTCATTCGAAACGCTAAATGTATTTGGAAGAAAATTATAATGAATTCAAAAAATATTAAGACTTTAACACTCTGTAGCTACGAAACAAAGCAGAAACGGAGCTATGTTGATATGAAAAATAAATCTTATTTTTACGTGAGGAATCTCCCTACGAGATATGGCACATGATTTTAGAAACACCCTGTATAAAAGTGTCATATTGAAAAATATTAACAAGTTAAACCTTAACTTGTTCCACGCATCAGATAAACGTTTTTCGTTTAACACGACAGTATTTAAAAAAAATAAAAACTTACCGTTAATTATATTGATTTGTTCAGCGGCGCCGGATGATTTCAAAGCCTCCTCCAACTGCACCCTTCGTTTCATCTCCACATCCAGCTGATCCTGCATTCTTTTTCTAGCACGTTTCTCCCTTCTCAATCTCTTCTGGAGACTGGCTGCAATAAAAAAAACGCATTACAATAAAGTCAGCGGCCGTATCAAGTACCATAAGCTAACTTTAAATAAAAGTGCAATATGAACTTCAGAGTGCATCAGTTTTTTTTAGGAAAATTTTATTGCTAAATTTTGGTATGTTAAGCCACTGTTTCGTCCATACCAGGAAATAGGTAAGGACAATGGAAGAGCAAGACCGTTTGTATTATTTTTTCTGTTAAAAAATTATTTATTAAAAAAAGTAAAAACACTTAATGCTAAATTTTAATAAAAATATTTTTTCTTCATTTATTGTTGGAACCTTATTTTGCTGTTGTAACGCCAAACAACAGCAAAATAAAAAACACTAAATCACCAAAATACACTAAAACATTGTGGTGATTTAGTGTTTTATTTTGCTGGTTGAAATTTATAAATATACACACATGGCCAAAATTATTGCATATAACGATATTTTTATTTTATTTTGGACCTAATATGATTCTTTTTATATTTTTGGACATATTGGCTAACTACACGACTAACTGATATAAAATTAAAAATCTAAGTGCAACTAGGCTGTTATAATTCTATTTCATAATGAGTGAAAATTAACAAAAACAAATTTCATTTTAAACCGAAAATATTGAAAACAATTTTAATTATTTCTCACTACAAACTAATAGTCTGTATTGCCTCCTCGAGCCTCAATGCAAGCTGTGAGACGACGTGGCATGCTCTCAATTAAGTTGTCCAGAAGATGTTGAGGAATGGCTTCCCATTCTTCGCGCGCAGCAATTTTCAATTCGTTTAAGGTACGGGGGAATCATTCCTTTTAGCAATATGGAGTTTTAGCATGTCCCAAGCATGCTCGATCACATTCATATCTGGAGATATCGGTGGCCACCACAGTTTTCTTATACCCTCTTCCTCACAAAATTCGCGAACCGCTAAAGTGCGATGGGGAGGAGCATTATCGTCCATGTAAACAAATTCATCCCCCACTGCCCCTCGAAATGGACGCACAATAGGCTCTAAAACGTCTCTAAGATATGAGGCACCTATCAATGTACCATCAATAAAAACAAGAGGAGTTCGAGCTCCGTGCATTATACCTGCCCATACCATAATGCTTCCCCCTTGAAACGGGACACGGGGTTGAGCTGCATTCAAGCGTGCTCGTCTTCCAAATGCTCTTCAGACCAAAGTTCGCCGCGAATCTAACACTAGGCCTATTCTTACTTCATCACTAAACATGACGAAATTCCAATTAGGTCCATTTGCTCTCATCTCCTCAGCCCATTGTAGTCGCGTAATTTTGTGCTGTAAATTAAGCTTTGGAACACGTAGAGGCCTCCTTAAATGTAATGCTCTGTCATGGAGTCTCCATGCTATGGTCTTTCTTGAAACATTTACTCCTTCAAGGTGAGTTAACTCATTTTTAATAGCAGTACTAGAAAGCAGGGGATTGCGTCGTGCAATTAGGGATATTTGACGGTCTTGCACAGCAGTAGTAACTCTCTTTCTACCTCTTCCAGGGCGGTCTGTAACCTCATTTGTCTCCCTGATTTTTTTTAAAATTCGCGAAACATCGCTTTGGTTAACTCCTACAATTTCAGCTATTGCAACTTGCCGGTAGCCCTGTTGAGACAGTGTTACTATTCTGACTCTATTAAACTGTGAAGTAATGTTTCTAGGAATTTTAAGGCCAAAACAATGGTCAAATTTCTTTTGAAACCCAAGAGACCACAAATCTAAATGTGCAAGAATTTGTAATAATATTGGGTCTGAACCATAAACATTGTTTACCATATCCATTTTAACAAAAAAATGTTTATTACAGATTATTAAAGCTATGTATAAAAAATGATTCTTTAAATTCCTTTCCGTATATTTTTAAACATATATGCAATAAGTTTGGCCATGTGTGTATTTTGAAGACCCTGTAGCATCTAAGTAAAATCTCTTTACATATCTTTTTCTATCTATACTATCTTTAAACAAACTTAACAACAGCTAATATCTTCGGTGGAGAGGAGGAAGAACAATAACAATAAAGGCAAGGTGTGCTTTTATGCGTGTAGGATACGCGAAAGGAGTGATTACACGGTAGAGCTGCCGTACAAATAATACGTTCGGAAGGTAATCGTCGACATCTTTTAGGTTATAGACGCTTTTAAATCGGTATCTGGGAGGTTCAGATTGTTTTAATTAGATATCTCGAACTCTATAATTATGTAGTTTGATTTCCGCTCGGTAATATGCATTGCAGGATGGTTCCAAGTTTTCAAGAACAGGCAGAAGGTCACCAGATCATCTATTGTATCCATTAATGTAACAATTTACTAAACATTGTACAGTATGTCCCCGGATTGTCTTTAAGAGGAAAAACTTTTATTGTTGACATTTTGAGAAAAATACATTCTTAATAGAAATGTTTGCTTGTTCTAAAATATACGGAGTGTCCCAGAAATACGTGCAAATATTTTAAGGGGTGGTAGATCTCGATAAAAGAAACATATTTTCTCTTTATCGTTTTTCAAATAAGTCCAAAATAACGGAGTTATTTTACTTAGAAAATTTTCAAAAAAAATGATTTTTTGCTAAAATTTTGAGAAACACTGGATCTTTTCTGGATTTTCTTTCTTGTAAATTTAATCTAATACCTATGTTGCCATATTATCAAGATATTATGTTTTTTAACTAAAAACTAAAAACAAATTCCAAAAAAATTTTCAAAAAATTTAGAATTTTCAAAATTTTTTATTCGCGAAAAAAACCTCATAGGCGTGTTTCTGGGGTTGAACTATACTACCAGTTAAAATATTTGCACTTATTTCTGGGACACCCTGTATAGAGTAGGTGTTATGTATATATGGAAACGGTCGATTATTATGTAAAACATAGGAGGTACCGCAAAAAGTTACATACAAAAGTTACATACCCATGTGTTTATAGGAAGTTTTTTTATAATTTTTGATGAGGAATCTAGGAGGCCGAAATCGGCAAAATCTTGGACAAAATATTAAGAGATAACTTTTAAGTGGCTAACTAAATTGCTTACACTATTCCGTTAACAAGAGAAAAAAGTCAGTGGCGTACATGCTTTTTTTAGAAAAAATATTCCAGTGATAACCCATATGCACGTCCCTGATCAATATTTCGACACTTTTTTAGCTTTAAAATATGTCGCACTTATATTAACTTTTACCCTCAAAATTTCATTGGAATGGCTAAAAGTACTTGGAAGAAAATTATAATAAATAAAAAAATATTAAGACTTTAACACCCTGTAGTTACAAAACAAAGCAGAATCGGACCTATGTTAATACGAAAAATAAATCTAATTTTTACGAGAGAAAAAAAAATTAAATAAATCTTATTCCCCACGAGAGATGGCACATGTTTTTTGAAACACCCCCTATACTCCTAGTATATTAAGAGTATATTAACTACAAATTGCTTAAAAGATCATCAAAATCGGTCCTCTAGAACACACTATATAAAACTTTATCCTTATTATATTTTTTATCAAAATTATAAGGTGCCCGTTTTCCGTGCCGGTGAGTTTGACACAACTGACGTTATATACCACAAACTATTATCTTTTTCGTATTTCTGCAAACCGCATATAATCAAATAATTCCATTTTATAGACCATTTCGCGCCGAGGAATGTTTAAGCGGGCCCACCCAAGGAGAATAGCTTAGATATATGAATAATGAAGGGCATAAAGATAAAATGTTATGTTTTATTGATTTTATATTGCAATGTTCGATGATAAGAAAATGCGGCATGCGAGTGATTTTTGTTAATGTTCCAAGAACTCCGCGAAAACTTAAGTACTTAAATGCGGTTTTAAATTTTTATTAAGACTGTATTCCGTTGCAAAACCAGGCGAACCAGACCGGTAAACTACGGTAAAGAGCGGTTCCTGAAGAACATCGCGATGATCGGTTTGATACGGAACGGTTTGGTAAAATACTGGAAACATCAAATGTTGAAGTTTTATAAATTTCAATACCTCTATTATAAAATGTATCTTTTACTTTTATGCATTTTTAATGTACCTATTCTCTGCTTTTACGTTTGCTTCTTCTTTTCAATGGAGTTTAATATTGAAAAGTACTTTATTAATAAGCTGTTAAACTCGTTAGACAGCTCAAGTGAAGATTTGCAGGTCCAATATTAAAACAGATCAATAATAAATAAACAAATCTAATCAATATTTATATTTTTATAGCTTACAAAACATTCACAATAATTACTTGTTGTCTTGTTTTTTTATCTTTTCTTTAAATGTTCCTGACTTTAAGAAACAATGGCTGCATGACAAGTTTAAATGATCCTAAAAAGTAATTCTATTGACTTAATGAAATTTATTTACCTTTACTGCCTACCTCCATTGCTTTTGGATGTAAATACAAAATATTATAACAAATTTTACAAATTAAATGAGAATTTTAAATAAAAAAAATGTGAATTCATTTTAAATAAAACAAATAGTATTTTTTTTTAATTCGCACTCTTGATTTGGGAAAGAAAAATACTGAGGAAGATTTTTGGAGGAAAGAAGGCATACTTACAACATATAGATCAGAAGAACAAGTGAAGAATTTTAGAAACAATGGCAAGTGTAAACTCTAAATGCAAAATATACAAAAAATGTAACAGGTTAAAAAAATAATCAAACCAATTTAAAAAGAACTAAATTTAGGTTGTAGTGCGACGTTTCTTTTAGATAAAATAGTAGAGAAGCCCAACGAAAAAGTTTATTGAGTGCTTTACAAACACATAACCAGTCTTCACTTTTATAAGCATTTTTACTAAAATGACAAATACACGATTTTAATTTAGTATTAATATTTAAAGTATGCTTAGGAGGTCCTTTTCAATAGTTTTTAATTTTTCTGAATAGAACATAGAACTGAAGGGTGATGACGCACGCCGATATTTTTGATTTTACACCGCGAAAGAGATGTGTTTAAGAAATCGCATCACCCATCGACTAAAACAGCAAATG